TCGAGCACGTCCGCATCCCCCGCGACAAGCTGGTGGGCCGGAGCAGGCCCGGGCGCTACAGCCACCTCCTGGACGAGCTGTACCGGACCAACGTGCTGCCCCCCACCGCGCGGCGCAGCCGCATCGGCGTGCTCCACGTGCCCCGGCCCGACGGCACGGCCGACATGCATATCGTGATCAACGGCGAGGACATGGGGGCCAGCGCCAGGGGCCTCCCCGCCGCCCGCCCGCTCTACGCCGTGGTGGACGTTTTTGCTTCGACCAAAAGCGTCCGTGTGATCCAGGTGGATTACGGCTGTAGGTATCCGAGGAGCCTCCCCGCCCCGGGCTCTGGGGAGGGGCGCGGGTCGGGGGCTCACAGCGGTGAGATTCAGCTTCACCATCTGCCAGGGCAGAGCCCCGGGCACCACGGTGCAGGGTACGGGGCACAGGGCAGGGAGGCGAGACCGTGCTGGTCTCCTGCTAGACACGGCCGCAGCCCTGTAAGCCAGCGCCAGCCCCGCGGGGGCCCTTGAACGCCAGGCCCCACGAGCTGCTACCCCCTGCCCAGTACCTCACTGCCCCTGCCCTCCGTGGCGCTTATCTTCCCCCTGCCCCAGCCCCGGTGCCCACAGCCTTTCCTCGCCCCTCGGGTCTGGGGCTGAGATTGGGCGCGTGGAGCAGACGTGAGGAAGACACTTGTGCAACAGCCCCGGGGGAGCTGTTCACAGCTGGAGGCGGTGGGAACGGGACTCCCCAGCCCAGAGCGGGGTGGTTCAGTCTTGGCCAGCTGAGCAGGGTGCTGTAGTCCAACTCCTCAGAGGACAGGCACCTGAGCCACAGCGACCACTGACGCCAATTCACCCTGCTCAGCAGGAGCCAAACACCAAGCGAGCCAAAAGCAAGAGCAGAGATGGGGCCATGATAACCGCCACGCTGCCTGGCGCTGTCCACACGGCCCAGCGCTCGGTACCCGGTGTCCAGATTCCAGGTGAAGGGCCACACTCTCAACAAGCTCTCACGAGAAAGCGGAGCAGGCAGGACTCTCCCTGACAGCACCGGTCGCTCCTGCACTGGGGCTAGCCTATGGCTTGGCGCTTTGGCGCTAGGGCACTACGAAAACCCAGGCGCAGGGACGTGAGATGTGCTCGGCTGTCAGGACACGAACAAGTCTGTCTTCAGAGTACGCCCAGCCAGCTCCTACTCAACCCCCGTACCCTTGCCTGAGCAACTTTGCAGCAAGCAGCCTCCCCAGGCTGGAAGTACCTTGCGTGGAGGATCTAGGTCCAGGTCAGCGCGCGGGCAAAGCCCCTCTCACCTCCTGCTGCCCTTCGCTCTCCGGACCGGCAGGGGCTCCCCTGGAGATGCCCGACTGGGTTTCTCAAGATGGCTGGGAGCAGTGCGGGAGGCTGAACGCAGTTCTTCCCTTCTCAGACGAAAGGTTTCAGGGGTTCCTCTTTCTGCAAACAAAGCGTTTAAGGGAAGTTTCACTTTAGCTGCATATTGGCCCAAAGCAAAAGCGAGAAAGAAGCAGCGGATGTTGCCGGTGACAGGTTCTGGGTCACGAGGGAGATTCAGGCCTGGCAGCAGCAGGGAACAACCTATTGCTGCAGAGAGCAAAGTCTCTTCTCACGAAGCGCCCCGGTCACAACAACCCGTGGCCCGGAGCCGAGGGAAGGTAAACAGGCGAGCGCTTTGAGCGCGGTCCCAAGGTCAGAGCCCGGCTCTGAACCGTGCTAGTGGTTTGGCCAGAATTTCTGCTTCTCTCTGCCCCTCCTTCCCAAAACCGGCAGCACCCGGGCACCCAGCAGAGATACGAGGTGTTGAGCAAGATTTCGCATTACCTGCAGCTCAGCCTTACACACGTTGCGACAGACCAGATTATTCACGCCTCTGACCGCCCCCGCACCCCGATAGCCCTGCTGTGGTAAGGCCTTTCACACACTAGCTGGGGCCCAGTTGGCTTGCTGCCACCTGGATTCCTGCCCCAGCACCCAACAACTCTTAGATAAGAGAGAAAGTGTCCAGGAACAGGCCGTGGGATGCGTGTGCCCGCTGGGTGCAGCGACCCAGGTCACGGGTGAGAGGGGGTTTCAAGGGCAGCATGGGGGGAGCAGGTAGTCCGTGGCCAGATGGGCACAAAGGTGATCATCCTAAAACTGCCACATCAGCCGTCTCCCTGGGAAGTCCCTGCCCCCAGCCCATCCTGCTCCAACTGCACAGCTGTTGGGGGAACGGCGGAGGCATCAGAGCCCAGGGACATGAGCTGCCCCCCCCGAGCCTGTGACCTCCAGCAGGCAGCCAGGATGCGAGCGCGCACCTTGCGCCTCACTGCTGACTGGCAGCTCTTCACAGGGCAGCATTCCCCCCCATGAGGGCCTGCCCCAGGACAACCAGTGCGCAGAGCCTGGGAGGCCAAGATAACAGGCCCCAGGACCAGCCACCCTCCAGAAGCCACAGCGCCAGCCATGCTCCCCATGCCCATCATGAGCCACTTACCTACCCAGTGACCCTGCAGTGCCAGGGTGACACAGGTGCACTCAGAGCAGCCAACTCAGCTCCCTCTTCTTCTTCCTCTTTCAGTCCCCTCCTTGCAGACCCTTTGCCGACAGGTCATCCAGAAGCATGTCATCCACCGACTGGCCATCGACGGCTTGGACCTGCCCCTCGTACTGAAGAACTTCTGCAAATACGAGTGACGGGGCAGCGGGAGCACCCTCAGCAGGCAGCTGCCGTGTGCCCAGCCGCTGCAAGCGATCAAGAAGGGTCTTCCAGGACAGCTCTTCCACCCCCCGCAAGCAGAGGGCCCCAGGACCAGAGCCGGTTCCCCACTGCTCTGCCTCTGGCTGGAGCCTCAGCAGGCCCTGCTTCCTGACACGCAAAGTGCTGTCTGCAGCAGCAAGAGACAGTACAAGGGCTGCACAGCCAGTCTGGGCCGGAGCAGCACTAGCAGGGGGCTCCTTGCATGTGAAGGGCAGGCTGGGGCTGCTCCACTTACAGCAGCACAAGGGCAATAAAGTACTTCCAAACTGCGCTGAACAAACGCTGCTTGTAGGATCAGTGCTGCACGCAGCTTCCGCCTCCTCCACAGTCCTGGTGACAGGGAGTAGCATGGGCCAGTCCCCGCTGCCACCTGTCCGAGTCACAGACCTCAGCGAGGGTGCTCTTGCCCTCCTGAGAGGTGTGGGAGGGTGGCCGCAGGCATGCACAGTCCACGTGTTGTGTGGAGCAGGGGCCAGGGACAAACCAGAAGTGCTTGAAACCCAGCCTGCTTGTGACGGGCAGAGGCTCAAGGGTGTCAGAGCAGGAAAAGATGACCCAGCGGGTGAGCAAGCCACCCTAATCCCACCAGCATCATTCCCTGCAGAAAGCCACCCTGCTCCAGACACAGCAGGAGCCGAGTCACACACAGGCGGGGAGCCAGTGCTGGGCGCTGGCTCCAGTGTGAGGTAAGGCTGGAGCCTGTGATGCTGGTTCTAGAATGGGGCAAGTCTGCGCGACGGGAGCTGCAGCCCACGCCCCATTCCAACACTGGCCATGTCTTATCCGGTGAAGGAAATAGTGGCGCTGGGTTTTTTAAATCCCAGTCAAGGTAACCGCTTTTCTTGCTACTGCAGCAGCATTTTGTGCCAACAGGGAAGTGCTGGGAAGGAAACTCAGGGGCGCTCTGCCACAGGGCAAGTTTGGGCATCGCACAGGAGACCAAAGGCTCGAGGCATCTGTCACCATTTGGATGCAGGGTGGCCTGAGCATAACATGCTGGTCACGTGGCACCAGCCAGACGTTACCCAATTACCACCCACCAGGCCGTGAGAGGGTGCTGAGGCAGAGAGGCCTCAGCTCAAACTCCTCCTTAGTTGGAAGTAGAGCGGGCGGGATACAAAAGGCCAATTCCCAGCAGCTGGCAGTTTGGAAATGGCTGGAATCAGCCCTCCTGAATTGCCAGGGCAGGTGTTCACCAAGAGTGAGCTGTCACTTGAAACAACACCCAAGTCACCAGGGAAAACCAGGCTGAGCCGGGATCCCAGCACATTTCTGGCTGCTCTCAGGGAGGGGCCAGGCGTGGGAGACCAGTGTCTCCCACGCCCTCCCAATGGAATGAAAATTGCAGCGTGGCTCTTGTTCCAGCTGCATGTTTTCTTTCCTGGAGAAGATGTTTACTTGCAGGCTGGGCCTGACTCACGTCCTGCACCCCCACGGGAGACGCATGCAGCAGATACCCAACAGCACAGCGAAGGCCGTGGGGAGAACGTATCCATGTATGCTGCACAGGGGGCATGGGCTGAGTCTGACTCGACCCCTCCCAGAACTCCAGGATCGGGCATCGTGGGTGCGCCAGTGCTGGGCCACACGCAACAGAATGGGCGTCTAAGCGAGGCCTGCCTCGGGCTGGGGCGTCCTGGGAGGGGCTCAGCCCACGCTTCTCTCCCTACAGGAGACGCCAGCAGACAGCTCCCCGTGGTGCAGGGCAACCTCAGTGTCTACCAGGCAAGGGAGGCGCCCCCAGCTGCCGGGGTTTTGGTTCCAGGCCTGTTCAGGAGCAACACAGAGACAAATGCAGGCCCTCCACAGCAAGAAGCTGCCCTGCTGTACCAGAAGACACCCACACAGCCTCTCAGGGGGGCCCACACAACTCCATGCCTCCTTATCCACAGCAGGGTAGGCTATGGGTGGGAGCCATACAGGGGGCAGTACTTTGGGAGGCTTGCCCAGCATGAGATCCCTGTGTGGGATTACCCCTTTGAACTGGTCAGAGACAAGCAGCCCTGCAACCCTGCAGGCACATTTCAGACTGCCCCTCCACAGAGGTATCCACCTGCCCAGCAGAGGAACAGGTGGTGTGCTGCTGAGCAGGGCAGCCCTGCACAGGGCTTCCCACTGGCTGGGCTTCCTCCTCCTGGAGGTGCTTTCCTGCTGCCCATGAAGGCCAGTAACAGAGCAGGAGAGCCAGCACCGACCTTGCCCCCTGACATCTGCATCCTCACTCTTGCCATGATGATCGCAGGCATCCCCACAGTGCCCGTGCCAGGGGTCAGAGAGGATGACATGATCCAAGCTGCAGAGAGCTTCATGGCAGAGAATCCGGAGCAGGGGGCAGCAGGAGAGGTTGCTCTGAAGAGGAGAGGGGACCTGCAGCTCCGCAAGAGAGACCGACTGAGAAAGAGGCCAGTCGACAGCGGCTTGCGGAGCCCACCTCCAGCTCTTGCCGCACAGCCTGGGAAGTGAAGCCAAGCAGAACTTCAAGGGGAAGGAAACATGGGAGGCAGTGTTCCCAGAGAAGGTTTATATTACCAGATCATGTGTTACAAAACCCCAGATCAAGAGGAAGTCCCCAGTCACGCCGCTCTGCTCTGCTCCCATGGTGTGCTGACTGCTATAAACAAAGCCGCTACCAAAACCTGGGTCAAGGGAACACACGCACTTTGGATGACAAGCATGTCAGACTGGGGGGGGGGGAAGCCGACCTCCCCATGCGGTCCTGCACCCCTGGCTGCCCCCTGCCGGCTGCAACAAAGCATCTCTATCTCCCGCCCATGGGATCTCCTTTCCTGAAGCTGCTTCTTTCAGAGCAGCCAAACCCCTTATCCCCAAGCATGCAGCAGGTCTTGCTGCTGTCAGCACCCCCTTTTCCTCCCTGCAGCACACTGCGAGCCTTCAGTCTGCACTTACTGCCTGGCTGCAAGCCGCAGGCGACAGCCACAGGTACACCCATTCATCCCCTTCTCCCAGTCCAAGGCTGTCAGGGCAAGAGTGCACTAGTTTCCCAGCAAGTGTAAGGGCAGCTGCCACCTCTGGCCCATGTAACTCTAGTGCCTGCTGCGGGAGCTGTGGGCGGGCAGGTTCACTCGGCCGACTACAGCATAGGGAAATGAGAAGACGGGGAACTAACAATGTGGTTTAAAAACAGAGCCTGGCCTCACCTGAGCACAGCCTGCCTACCAAGCTAGGTAAGGAGCCCCAGGTGCCAACAAGGCAGGGAGGGGAAGGGCTGGCAACGAGGTACTCAGCTCCCTACCTACCTGCAAGTGTTATACATGTCACAGCTAAGCTGCCCATGCCCAGTGCAGTGACTGCGCACCTGGAAAGGGCCTGAATGCACAAGCCCTGGGTCAGACAATGGGGGCCCAGGCTGCCCCAGTTCCACTATCAGCTGGGCCAGTGTGGTTGGTCCATTGCCACCTGGGCAGGAGTCCCACATCCAGGTCCCTCCATCTCCCCAGCAAGGGCAATGTTCAATCAACAGGTGCTAGGGGCACTCCAAAGCCAGGGAGACCCCACTGCGTTGCCCATCTCCCACCACCGGGTTTCTGAGAGGACGAAAAGGAGGACGTGTGGCTTTGAACTGATGCTGCTCCAGCATTTCACATCTCGCTTCCGCCCACGTGCCCAACAGCTGCAAGGCACAAGCAGAAGGGGCTGGGAAGCAGCAGCGTCAGAGCTACAGCTTCACTTCCACGTAAGGTCCGATCCAACTGTCAGCCAGTTCCCTCAGGGTGTTGTACCTGCGATCAAACTCCTCACTACTGCACTGGGTCAGAAGGCGGCTGATCTCTTTGGTAAGAAAGGACACAACCAGGGATTTATCCAGCGACTTCTCCCAGGAGCTGTTTAGAACCTCTGAGAAGCCATTGGTGCTTTCTGGCCCTGCCTGACAGCCACCAGGTCCCTTCTGCCACTGTTTGCTCAGCATTTCTGGCTGCGAGACCCTCCTGTCCGAGTTCAGCACAGCCAGGACGTGCCTGCAGGGCAGCCGGAAGGTTTGGTTCAAGGGGCAAGTACAGCTTTTCAAGCCCTTTGGGTCCACCTTGTGGGCATCTTCGAGGATCTGCACATTGATGGCATCCTCATTGGTGCCAATTAGCTGCACAGACTTCTGCACCACTGCAAACTCGGTCAGGCAGAGTTTAGTGGCAGGAGCTGTGCAGATGTCCTGCAGGGACTGACTGATGCGATCATCAGCCTCTCTGCTCCTCTCCGTGTCGTGGTCCCCGTCTGTGTCCTCAGCGATGGTCTCTCTTGCAGTTCCATGGAGAGGAAGCTTCAAGGGGCTCCAAGCATTTGTTGAATGGTTCTGCAGAAGCTGGGAAATCTGAGGGGCTGCCAGGGGGTTCTGAAGAAAGATCAGGGGATTCTGAAGAGTTGCAAGAGAGCCATGATTGAGAGAGACCAGTGCTGTCTTCTGGGCTGGTTGGTTACACAGAGATGTGGAGGGATGAGTAGAAGCTGGGCGCAAGGTCTGAGCCGGCACGCTCTGGGGAGCTGCCTCAGCAGACATATGGTTGCTCGAAGGGGTAGTGGAGACCAGCACGGCGTCAGGAGGCCGCTCCGACACACACTTCTGGTAGTGTTTTGCTAGAGAAGTGGCGCAGGTCTCCAGAGAGCGCCCAGTGCAGAAGACTTGACTTAAGCCTCGAGTGGTGATCTCCAGGTCTTTAAAATACTCACTGCTCTCAGCCCAGTTCCTCCAGCTGTGCATGACCCAGATCTTGCTGTTGAGGAGCCAGTGGATGTGGAGCTGGGGCAGCAAGTCGGGCTTCACAAAATCGCTCAGAACGGTATGCATCTTCCGCAGGTTGCTCTCTGTGGCTGCACACATCGTGTTCCTCAAGGTATTCAGAATGAGCCTTTCCGTGTAGCACTCCAAAGACAGCTGGTGAATCTTGTGCTGCAAGTATTTGCACACGTGGAAGACGGATAGCTGCACTTCCGCCGACGGGAACGCTTGGGAGAGGATCGGCAACAACGGGAAGTGTGGGTCCACTAGGAAGGTCTGGATCTTCTTCCATTCGGGGTTAAAGGCCTTGAACGTCTTGTAGAGGCGCGACAAGCTCTCTGCAGACTCCTTTGCGGGGACTGCGAAGTGAATGACCTTCATCATCTCGCCCTCCAGCTTCAGGAAAGGCTTGTCGACCATGAACATGTACAGAGCTTTGCCCTTGCCGCTGTGCGTCCTGTGGATAAGCACGACCTCGGGGAAACGCACAAACACGTCTCGCATCAGGACGGTCTGGAAGCTGATGGCGTCCAGCTGGGAGCTTTTATCCAACTGATAAGCCACCAGGGAGCCGCAGTCGAAGCTCAGGAGCTCCCTCACCGTTTCCAGGGCCATTGCTAGCAGTCGGTGTCTGCGTGCTGGTGGAGTTCCCTCCGCGGCCGAGAGGCCCGTCCACGGCGGGGCAGCCCCTCACGCTACCTCCGCCGGCTTCTAGCGGGACCGAGGTCCGAGAGGCCTGGGGGGAAGGGGGAGAAACAGGAGGGCAAGTGGTCAGGACCGATTCTGCCGCCCGCCTTTCCCTGCTGCTCAGACGGCAGGCGACGGGCTGGCGAAGCCACCTCCCGCCCCTGCCCCTGCCCCTGCCCCCAGCAGGCTGGGCCGCCCCCGCTGCAGCACCTCTCGCACCTGGGGCTGGGAGAGATCCCAGCATGCTCCGCTCCAGCCCAGCCCTGCTGGGGGGGGGGCCAATACTGCATCCCAGCATGCACTGCTCCAGCCCAGCCCCTGGGGGGGGGCAATGCTGCATCCCAGCATGCACCGCTCCTCCCTACCCCTGGTGGTGGGGGGCAATGCTAGTTCCCGGCGTGCCCCGGCGCCCCTCCACCGCCTCACCTGCTCCAGGCTGGCCGGCTTCCCCAAGCCGCCATTTCCTGCTCTGCCCCGCCACCGCTGTGACGGACAAAGCAACTTACCAATCCTCGGGCGGCCCTTTCAAAAAGCCACAGCCAATCAGAATACTAGTGTGGCTCCCTGTCAGCGAATCCACCAATCAGTGGCCATGGACCCGCCCACGGCTCGGTGGGGCGGGCTTCTGCTGCCGTGGCGACGCATCCTCCAATAGCTATAGACCCTCCTAGCAACCAGCCCGTGACCTCAGAGCGAGGCGCCCAATCAGCGCCGGGGAGGTCATGCGACTCACGCAGTTCGAGTCACGTGACTCGCAATCCCCGCCAACTTCCGCACGTGGCAGCCGCGCGGCTCCGGGCAGCGCCCCGGGCGTCCCCTGCCCCCCGGGAAAGGCCCAGCGCCGCGCCGCGCCGCGCCCGGGAGAAATACGGCTGGATGACCATGGAGCCGAAACCATGTTTTAATAATTCGCAATTCATTTGGTCTGAACACAGCAGCAAAGGGGCGCTGCTGGCGGCAGAGCGGGAGCCACCGCAGCATTGCACTTCCCTGGGGAGCGAGCTCTCCGCAGCCCCGCCGCCAGGCTGCACAGCTCTGCCCAGCGCCCCCAACAACTCTCCTGTTGCCTGAGCAGCGAGAGCCAGTTCACTCCAGATTTAAAAACCAAGAACTATCAAACGAACAAAGGAGGGAAACTAACCGCCTTGAGCCTGGGCCCCGCTGCTGGGCCGGCCTTCCTAGGCTTTGGTGGAAGAACAGCAGGTGAAGAGCCCTCCAAAAAGGGGATATTGCTAGCCTGGCTTCCGCAGCCCTAGCACCAGGCAACTGCTGGCTGGACAGACGGTGGCCAGCTGGGAACTACCCTATTATAGGTGCCAGAGCCGGGAGGTGGAGTCGACGGTCGGGCACCGGGGAAAGTCTCATGTTCCGTAGCTGGATCTTTAACAGTCCTACAAGTTCACCGTAACCCTGAATCTCCTTGGGACAGAGCGGGGAGGGGAAGAGGCTGGGGTAGGGTCGACCCATTAACTCTCCAGGAACAGCTCAGTTCATCCTTCATGTCTGAACCCAGCAGGCTTCGCCCTTCACATTAGCAACTTTTTGGTGTCTGTCGGTGACTCTCCAGAAGCTGCTGCTGCCGGCTCCACTTCCATCTCCTCCTGCTTCACCCAGAGGAAAGGCAGGTCCCCCACATTTCTGCAGGTAAAGGGTTTCTCATCTTCCTCCTCTGGCTCGGAGGACTTAGTCCAGATATCCACAATCATTCTGAGTGTGGAG